GGCACGGTGGATGCACAGGCACAGGGTGCCTCAAGTGAGCTGGGGCAGCCCTTGGCTCTGCCCAGACCTGCATGTGCAGGCTGTTTGTACAAACAGTGAGTGAGCCCTTTCTTACGGGCAGCCTCAAAAAATGTTGTAAACATTTCCACTGAAATTAACTGAATGAGTACTTTTAATCAAGTTAGTCATCCATCTTCTTTCCATCCATCTTTGCAAGAGAAGGGTTGTTGAAAGAAATCAAGAAGAGGGTCTGTGTGCCAAAGCTTGGCTGTTTTCCTTCCAGTGATAGCAAACAGTCTGATAAAACACATTCTCTTGCCCAGTATGCCTTTATTTACTTAATTCTTCATAAATAGTTTAAATAATTGTGAGCAGAATACTATGTTATCTATAAAAGGTATCCAGTTGCACATAATATTCCTGATGCTTACAATAGTGTCAAGATAGCTTACAGGAATTTGCCTTGCCAAAATACCTGTGGCAAAGCTGACGTACAATGGTTCAGCCAAATCAACTCTGTTAAGCAGCATCCCCTAGCCCTGCAATAAAATCCTCTTACCTTCAGGGTACATTCCTGAACCAACAGAGAACTCTTTGCAGGACCAGGGGGACCATGACCTCAGATGGCTTATACAAGTTTTTAAGCACAGTAAAACTATTACAGGCTGCTCTTTCTAAATGCTTTCCATCACAGTGATATAGGTGTTTTTTTAATCAACTCCTTGCTGAGAACAAAAATAATAGCATTTATAGTGGATTTAAAAGTGAAATAGTCCTTGAAGTCACATACAACTCTGGAAGTTTGGACTTGTAAAGAATGAATAATTGCAAGTTAGGATTTGAGGCAGAAATTTGGCAAAAAATAAGTCTCAAAGTGCTAATTGTTAAAATCGGACAACTGCAAAAGGCAAAATTTGACAAAATCAGCATGATTTTCCATCTGGAAGACAAGATTCTTGAGGAGTTTCCTAAGAGCCTCAGAAGTAGTCTCTGCTGCGGTTCAGAGGACTGAGAAGACCTTCCACAAATAAACCAGTGTATTTTTGTCAAGCACTGACAGACTGTATCCATTTTATTCAGTTAACAGAGTTGCCTCCTTTTGCACAGCAGCCTGCTAGCTCAAGCCCTTCCCTGGCAGGAAATGGGAAGTCTGGATTTTAAGGTCTCTAGTATGAATGGGCACAGGTGCAGATGTGAGAATGCTCAGGGCTAGAGCTCAGCCCCAGGGCTGTGAGCATTCTTGTCTCTGTGGGGTGAGTGCACATCAAACTCTCCACTGAATTTGCTCCAGACTGCAAGAGTTAAGGAGGTCAGAAAGAAAACAGGCAAAGATGAACCCTGACTCCAGCTAATGATGAGGTCTATCAGTTGCAAGGATACAGCTGTCCTGTCCTCTGTTTTTATTTTTCACTACCCAGGGCACACAAGCAAGCTAAGAGAACCAAGAACAGAACTTCTATGTCCAAAAGTCATATAAAAAAGCAACAACAGAGAATGAAAAAATGAAAAAACATATCCATAGCATGCCTGGTATTTTCTGAGTACTTTTCCCACAGAATATAATGGGATAAAACAAGGCAGCAGGGGAAGGATGGATGACATTAGATGTTCTTGACAGCCAGGCTGGTACACTGAATCTCCCAAAGGAAGTGGTAGATTCCTTACTGATTAAGTCATACAAAAATTAAACCTTCACAGCCCTAAGAACATAGTAAACAAATGGTAGAAGTGCAGGCAAATAGATTAAGTCTCTCCCATCTTTCAGGGATATGCCAGCACTGTGTATGTTTCCAGGCTTCAAAGGTCTCTTTTCAGACCACAAATTAAGCAAAGTCAAAGGACACACGTGCCCAGGACTTACCTCTTGGCCATCCTTGTCTCTGGTGTCTTCTGCATGGCCAGCTACTGTGGAGAGGAACTGCAGCAGCCGGTGAAGGGTATCGCAGTTACAAGGAGGTAGAAGATAAATGAGAAGCTGTAAGGTGCTGAGCTGTTCATCTGGCTCTAATACTAAGAGGGGAAAAAATATGTTCTAAGAAAATCACTCCAGCTAACCTAAAAGCAGAACAAATATACTATTCCCAACCCAAAGGAATAGGAATAGCTTTGTTTAAGAATCATTTTCCTTACAACATCAGAAGAAAAAGAGAAAACTCTAAGGAAACATTGAAACTATAAGAACTACTGCTACGGGATTTTTGCCTTGGTCAACATTTTGCTCACAAGTTTATGATATAAGAGAGCAAAATCCATGTTTTACACTCCATCATTATTACTGGGCTCAAATATTCTGTTTACTTTTCTATTTACTCCATTAATTTAGGTATAGCTACAGTAGCTGTCAAGCATTCCAGTCAGCTTTGTGCTTCAGCCATTTTTAATCAGTTTTCTTACAGTTTTCAATCTTGCAGAAGTACCAGGAGATTGGAAATGCAGCCAGAGAAATAAAGGGCATTCTGCTACCACCACCACTTGAACCATCTACCATCTAAATAGTAGCCAGTGACAAAGGTGGGACAGAGGCAGGATCTCAGACATGAGGGCTAGAAAGCATCTGAAGAACACATACTAGGCAGCTGCTTAAGCTTGAAATGTCCCCCTTGAGTTTTTCCTAAATCCCTGAGAGTCTGCACTTGGATCTTAGGCAACACAATTGGGAGTACTTAATATGATGGCTTTGAGGACCATTAACTACGAAGAAACTTCAATTTTTGAAGCCAAGCTAGAACTTTGGTCAGTGGACAGATCGAAGAATTTTAAGGTAAGAGGATTTAAATGGGAGTCAGTGACCTGGCACTGCTGGATCTATGACAGGGTCAGGTTTTAATAGACAGCATGAATTTCATCCTTACAAATGCAAAAATATGTATAGTTAGTGAAACCCTCTTGTTCCAGTTTTCTGTATTAGACAATATAAAAACCAGGAAGACACCTCAGTAAACTTATTCTAAAGAATATACTATATTATTTATATTAATATACACTACTATATTATATTACATATACTATCATATATTAGAATATACTATATACTTTATAATGTATTATACAAATACTTGGAGCAAATCAAGACCAGAGTATTAAAGGAACAGAATAAAAGAAGGTTATCGGTAGAGATCAAAGAATTCAAACAAATTAGCTTTTGAAAATTGATAAATCAAGATGCTGTAAAGCTCACAGAGAGTGTTGATGAAAGGTGTATAAAGCTCTCTGGTGAGAAGTGGGTCAGGCATGTCACGCAGAAATTCCTTTAACAAGGCAGCAACATCATGAATGCTGTGCTCTTCATCTAATACAACATCTACACCTCGGTCAAACTCTTCACGTAACTGAAAAAAAAAATCATGAGAGAAAACCATAGTCACTCATTATCCCAATTAATACATCCCAGCACAGGAAATTTTTTAGGAAGTAAATTTCCTCATTTTCACTTTCAAGACTGAGCATAACTAGTGTTTGGTAAGGTTGAAGATACAATTCATATCTAATTGCTGCTTATTCCATAATACATAACTTAAGGTTTGTAACAGATTGTAATAAAATACAATTTTTTTTCCAGCTAATATATGACACTCTTGTATGAAAACATGTATCCAAGTATAATTTTTGCAGAAACTGAAGATTTATAGCAAATGCAGAAACCAGAGAGAATAAGGAAAATTACAAGACAGGCTCTTATATCACCTTACTGCATTATCCCTGGGACCAGAAAGACTAAAACTGCATTTCGTAACGTTTATGATTTTGTAGAAACACATTATTAGTAAGATCAGGTTAATATCCACCAAATTCACACTTCTCTTGTCATTTAAGACTGTATGTAAAGATAGGTAGCAAGCAGTGAAGTTCACTAAGACTTCACAGCATTCCTTCACAAACACACCTCATTCTGCCTTCCTAATTTAATTATAAACATTAAGTAATCATCATTACAGAGTCCACAAGCAGCAAGATAACATCTTTACAAGTTACTGCTATTTTTTTTCCCTCGCTTTGGTCCTCAGACAAATTCTGTATAATTCAAAGGCATCACACTTCCCAAAGGCAGAAGAAAGCCCTCTCCCAAATCCAAGATACTTTATGAAAAGGTATCTATCTGCTCTTTTGGAGGGATTTTCCAGCACGAAGACCAGAATATTTTCCTCAGGCTGACAGCTTCACCTTTCATTCTTTCTGCATTTTGAAAACAGTCAAGAGGTTTCAAAACTATTTCCTAGCAAAAAATTTGTACCTTTGCTAACATTATGAGGTATCACAATGTCACACCCACCTTCTCAGAAAGTGATTACAACTAAATCTTATAAAGAAATCTGAGGTATCAGGTTTCTTCACCAGGAATATTACAAACACACCAAAGAGAGGAAGGAAGCTAAGTCACAAGTACACTATATGCCTGTGATAATTTGTGGCAAATCCTGATCACATGCAAATCTATCTTGAGTGTATTCAATGTGAAAATCCTTTGTTTTCAGCTGAGACTGTGCTTTCATAATGGGTGTGACAGGTATTCATTAAAAACCACAGCCTCCATTCTAATTTATGTAATTTATGTAATCTGATTACTTTTAACATTATTAATATCAGTCATTATTAATACTGAATAATTATGCTATGAGGACCAGAATATGCTCTTTATCTAATATTATTCTTTGATTTATGGTCAAAGATTCTCCAGACTGGTGACAAATGCAGAACATCCCTCTGGAGCACCATAAGTTACTCAATCCGGAAGATTGTTTCTACACTTAAGTGCCTGAAAGCAGCTGAGGAAACAGATTAGCACTGCATCAGGAATTCAGACTTCCCAAATAGATGGCTAATCATAAAGGGCTGTTATAGTCTTCAATATGGCACTTGTGATCTGATATCCTGTGAGATCTACAGAGATGTCCTAAGCAGCAAAATATCGTAGAAGCTTTGGTGAGATGTGGCCACATTTCAGGCCCAGGTACCATGGCTGTTAAAACTGTATATTGTACACTTCAAATTTAAGCCTTTCAGCCTCCAATCACATGGAATGCTTTCAAGCTTCTGGAAGATGCAGGTGGTGAACTATAGCATCCACTGAATCTCATGATATGAGAGATAAGGATATCTGTGCTGGAACAGGGGATAGAAGAGCAGAGCTCCAGCTATTTCATTCTTCATCCTCAGGGCTGAAGCTGCCACAATGTCACCAGGCCCAGCACAAATGGTTGCCCACCCCAAACTTGGCAACAATGCTCTGCTCAAGCATCTGTTCCGGGCACAAGATAGTACCTGGCATCCTGATGCACCAGATCTTCCACCTTGTGTCAACATGAGTTTGGGAATCTCTCCTACACCACACTGAACATGAAGAAAGCCAAGAGATGCAAACCTAGATTTTCTAGATCTTCTCTTACTTGCTCACCAATCGAAAACCTCGCTGGCACATGCATCTACTCTACTTACATATTTACCGCGACAAACAACAGTGGAAACAGGACATTGTCTAACTGGGGAAGGAAGGAAAACAAAATATACTTACTTTCTACACAAGAAAAACTAGTGAACAGCTGCAAAAGCACACCAAAATCTGAGTGCTGGGTTTGGCTTTCTGTGGTTCAGAAAATGAGTGGAATTTTAATTGAATCCAGACTTTCCCATGTGTTCATGTTGACAGCATTTATTACTGTAACTACAAGGGCCAAGCTGATGCTTCCTTGTTGTTTAATGAAATATATCAGTTTACCTAGTTCAATAAATTAGTCCATGTAATAAAAAACATAAGATATCCAAATCTCTTGATTTCTTCACCTTTTGTAAAGAGAGTAAAAGAAAAAGTGGTGGAAATCATTGATGTCCAAAGAAAGGCTTAGTTTACAAGTGAATGATAGAAGCTCTCTGCTTTTTCCTCAGATGTATGATGCAATTCTACTCATCCCTAAATGATAATGTATGTTTTGACATTGAAGCTTGCAATGCAAATGTGAGGCAACTTCAATACTTTATCTAGTGATGATCTGAAGACTGCCTCTGCAGATTTTTTTAGCTTAGTGTTACACCAGCTACTCAGGAATAGGAACTGCTGGAGAATGAGCTATAGTTGAGTAGGCTATACTGTCCTACCAGCCAAAATCAATTCAGTTTAGCTATTCACGGTACCTTTCCAGAATGATAAAACATTACACTATAAAGTTTTTGCAGCTTTTTGCAAAGAACTGTAACTTCTGGGATCAGATGCAGTCAAGCTTCCTTTTACTATTTTTTTTCCTGCTTGATATTTTGGTCTTAATTTCTGTCCTCTCCTTACCCATCACTCAAACATTAACCACTATTCCCCACTGCTCTAACTCAACATGCATTCCCAGTTCTGGGAATAACAGCGCAATATCTAGGTAGATATACCTAGGAGTGAACACCCACTTTTGACTTTATCTGTGGAACATAATTGTACACTATCTTTGCTTTTTCATAATTTGGCTGAGATTAAGACTTGGAAGGGTCTGTTCTGACCTTGAAGTCTAGCAGGGGTAAAAGAAAGGTGATATTTAGGAGCAGTGATCTTAGGGTCAAAGAGATCGTTCTGTACTTGCATGTTTTCTCATACTGTGGGTTTTCCAAAAAAGATTTACAGTTTCAGTTTACTTTGGGAGCTTCAGCTGTTTCTGAGATAAAACGAACAGCCAAGATTTTTTTTTCCCTGCAGTGTGACCTTTGGAAAATTTCTTCACTGTAGTTTATTTGGATCTCCAACCCTGTGCTACTTTTGTCAGAGCAAAACATACGGAGACTGTTAACCTGCTGAGAAGGATTGTACCAGATGTAAAAGGTACTGGAAATGGACTTTTATGAGCCATCAAACAACCAGTGAAGTCACTGACCCAGAAAGCCTAAATTTCACCATGCTACAGATGGGGAGAAATCACAACAAAAGGAAAGACATTTGTATGTATCATAGTTGATGGAAGAAAACTATATCCATATCCACTCACCTGTCTTACTCTCTTTTTTGAGCTTCCAACTCTGAATATTCCTACTGTCTGGAGACCTGCAAGTATAACACATTATAGCACTATTTTATTGTTTAATTTTTTCCTTAAAATTTCATTGAACCAAAGCATTCTGACCTATGTGTGCACTTAAAAGGATTAAAAAAAAAAAAAAAAGCAACATATTTCTCCACAAACTTGTACTTACCATGTTGACGCAAGATTCAGTTGTGATTAAGAAGCCATCCCCTGTGGTTTTTAAGGATCACACTTAATCTGCAGAATGGCATCCCTGTGACATGTCTTGTGATGCCACTTTGGTAGTGCTACTGCTATGAGGAACAAGGGTATGAAGAGACTGAGGCACTGCTCAGGGTTTGGGGGTGTAACTTTCAGGACTGACATCAAAGGAATCAGGAAGTAAAACAACTAAATACATGGGCATTGAGCTGTGTCCTTTGGTACAGGATGAAGTTGGTATTTGGGGTAACTCACTGGCTCTAAAATGCCTGAAAAATTTGAGAGGTGACATGGTCTTTAGCAATAACAATGTGAGTGGAAAATTTAGAGCCTTTAGGACCTGTGTACATAATATAATTTTACATGGTTATACACTTTTGCAAAAGGGATGAAATTATCCATAAACTTGGAAGTTTATGGTCTAAAAAGGGCTACTCTGTAGCTGTAATCTCTACTGACATGCAGGATACGTAAAATTACCTTGTGAAACAAATGCCTTTTGACAGCCATTAGGCTACACTTGCTTGCTAGTGGATGTGTCACCTTGAGCAGTATTTGGAGTTGCAGATCTTCCTCAGAGAAATCCAGACATAATTCTGTGTTTTAGTTTTTAGTCTGAACATAACACCTCGTTTTAAATCTTCACTCTTTGGTTAACACAAAATTACATTGATGCACTATCATTCAGTAAACCCAGGAACATTGGCAGGGAATCATCTGAGATGGAGATACACACAGTGGGCAAAACCTGCAACTGGTTACCTATTCCTACAGACATACAGTGCTTGTTCTACACTGCAGGTCTACAGAAAGCCAGGCCTTTATATCTCTGGGACATGATCCCAGGGAAAATAGGGAGGGTGAACAAGGACAGGGGCTTTTATGTCCAAAAACATAACCATTTTTTTGTCACATAATGCTCAGAATTATCCTTTAAAACATTCATCAGAAACTGCTGGTGACTTGTTGCTGAAAAAGGACTTATGTATATAGAAAGTATTTTCAGAATCAGCAACTTGGTCCATCATATATGATTGCTACAGTGTCCATCTTCTACCATCTTTAAATTTCTCTCAGTTCCAGTGTATGTCTTGTGGACAGCAGACTAAATCAGATTATTGCATTGTGGTATATTATAGTTCACTCTTAAACCATGCACAATAAACCATCATAAATTTCCTTTAAAAGGAAACTTCAATGTAAAGCAAATGTTTTTGTAAAGAGCATCATCTAGAAAATAACTTCGCTACAACAGTGTATTAAGAGGATTTAAAAAATTTTCACAGATGAACAGGTGACATAAAATCATGGTATCCAAATGATACTCAGCTGGATGGCTGTTTTGGCTGACTCAGATACTTCCATGTTCTCCAAACTCAGCTACCTTTGCTTAAAGGGATGGAAGTCATTCATCTCAAACTTAATCATCCCATACTTACTTGTTAGCCATGGTATTTAATCTCTGTAAAAGATTAAATCTATCTTTTGTAGCGTTCCTTGATACATTTGTAAGGAAAATAGCTTTCAGTTACGTATTGTGAAAGCTCAGCATTGTTGTTTAAACTGCAGTCCCTCATCTGCAAAAGCCCCTCATTCAGAGTTAGTAAATGATTTCTTGCTGGTGAAATTAGCATCAAATACATCATTTGCTGTTAGAATCACCATTATTTTATGGTTTGTTGATTATCTGGCCATGTGATAACTCCATCTTGCTGTCGCCAAGTTTTTCAATTATCATTAAAAAACTTTACAAGGCTAAGATACACTGGCAGAGATGGTGAGCAGACACCTAGATCGACTACTGTTTCTGCATTATGTAAAGCTGTGGGAGGTTTGTGTCTGGACAATCATGGACACATAAGAATCCTGGCAGGAGTCTGTAATTTCCTTTGGAGAGAGCAGGCATGAGTCTGAGGCTGGTCAGGAGTAATCAACCCAGAGACAAACTGAGCATTCAGCCTTTGAGCCTTGCCGTGAACAGGAAGAGGCTTCTTGGAGCTTAATACATATTTAGCGTGGAATTCTTTCTTATTCTGAGCCCCCATCTTCAAATATCTAAAGTCTTGCCCTACAAGATAAATAGATCATCAAGATCTCACACCTCAAGATCCAGTAGTTGTGAAGAATGATTCCAGACTGACTGGCACATTTCAGACTTTTTATTCTGAAGGTACATGTAAACCTGTGGGGTGTGAAGAGCTGTTTCTGCAGAGCTGAGCACCCCAGTACAAGATGAGTGACCTCCAGGGAAAGCCTCCATCCCTGTGCTCTATGGGTCAGTTTACAAGCTTGCAGCATGGATCTTCAGCTTGGGAAGTTATCATGTATGTAATTACTTTGTGAGACAGTATTTTTAGCAAGAGGCAAAACAGGAGGAAAAATGTCTAGATTTCAAAGACATCCTTGCAAATGGAAGCATATTCTTACTTCTCAAAATAGGCATTTATTTATATTATAGTAAAAATAAATCTGCCACTCCTGGGAAAACAAAATATTCTTACCATGCTTTTCCAAGTGCTGGCAGCAACTATCTACAAGCCGAGGAACCTGCCTGTAAATAGGGTTCAGGCTTAGTTTTTTATCTCTTGCCTTTTCTTTCTTACTCTGGGCTTCTGCTGGCAAAGAGAGCTGGAGAGCCTCCAACAATCTTGAGTGATTGTCATCAAGGTCTGTAATAGAGTCCACAGACATTGCACCCTGTAAAATACACACACATGGATAATCAGCAGGGCTGGGGAAATCTCAGCATCACAGGATGTCAAACAAAGACTTCTGCCTACTTGCAACTTAAACAAACTAATACAGAAGTACAAATAGCTACAACATTTTTATAAATTAATGAAGTTATAATACCAGTGTAATGAATAGGAAAAATCACTATGGTACCAATGTTATTCTTATCATATTACAACAAATACAAATTAAAAAATTGAAAAAACTAAATGCTTCCCAGTCATTCACTCCATCTTTTTACTATTGTAAACCTGCACATACTGCAGGGCACGGATGAATCATGGTCTGTGGGTGCACCTCAGCAGTACCATATTCATGTGCATGGAGATATATAGATATTTTTAAATCTTACTGCCTATTTCTTCTGTAGCTTGGACCATTGTATCAGTGAAACTTACACAAAATGATTTACAACCATACAGTATATATAGTTAACAGTTAATATCACAAATACATACAGCTGTGGAGTTTGAAATAATCCCACTCTATCACAGCATAAAAATACACCAAAGAAGTTGAGGGGTAATATTTTTTAAATAATTCTACTTCACGTATCTTAATATTTTAAAATCATTAAAATTCCAATGAAAGCTTTGAAAGCCAGGTTTGGATTACAGCGAGGTGCAGAAGTTCAAGCAGTTTGTAAAGGATAAAGCAGCACAAGCAGCAGGAGGTTTATGGCATGTTTCAATTTTCAGTCTTGAAAAACAAGACTTTTTTTTCAAAGCACAAGATTACTGTCATTTCAAAATCACCATTTCTCTTAGTTTTTATTAAACTTATGAGGCAAAAGCATTCTAGGGTACATGTAGTCTTACAATAATAATAATAAAACACAAAGGAAAAAAATCAGGCTTTATTCCTATTAAAAATATCTGTTGTAAACTATTTTCTTTCTTTCTGAAACAAGGCATAATTTTTACCATAACATAAAATGTACTGTACAGAGATGCAGTATGTCATCCTAAGAAATAATAAAGAAAATGTAAATTCCTACTCTGAACTTTTCTGACAACTATAGTTTGTTAAAAGCACACTGTTCTGCTGACAGGTAATTTCTAGACTGCTAGTCAGAACTCTACATCTATTAAATGAGAACTGTACAACTACTTACAAGGGAATTTCAAGCTCTGGAAGTATTTTGTTCTATCAGCCTAGCCAACTGAACTTTATGAAGGTTTTCAGCTCATAGGCAAAATTGTCAAAAAGTCCACCAAGATTTCAAGCTCATTGATAAATTCCTAGTTCATAATACCTTAAAATAACCCCATTTAACTTAACAGGTATAGTTCTGTTTCTCGTAACTCATGGCAGATATATAAATGAAGAACAGTGAAGTTTTTAGATTTTTTTTTACCCACATTACTATAAACAATTACTAGATTCTTTAGAATGCAACTTCTGACCTTTATTTCTGATGTCTCTCAAAAGTACATCTGCTTGATTCCTTTTACCATTTCCTGCCAACAGGAAACAAAAACACAAACAAAAAACCCCTCCAAACCAAACAAGAACCTTTGGCTATGATCCATGTGTGTAAAATTCCAGCTGAATGATATTTTGATTTTATTTAAGAGTTTGGCATTCCAAACATCAAATGAATGAATTGACACTGAAAATGCTAAGCCCACCCTCACCACTGCAGCCCCTGTGTGACAAGTGCCTGCCTTTATACCCTGTCTTTACTGGTCCTTTCCTGTCTGCAAAGCATCCTCACCTCATGAATCATTATCAGAGTCACTTAAATCGGATTCAGATCCCTAAAATAGATGCAAATACAGTCAGTTCGACGTGGTCCTTGGGCATTTTATCAAAGTTGTGGATTAACCGGCACACTGAGCTGGCTTTAGGAAGAGTGACCTTGAGTTCAGTGACTGAAGTCACTGCTTGGCAATACCAAGTCCAGGCCAGCTCTGATTTTACAAAGTGCACAAGAAAACGTCACCAACATACCCCACAGATCCAGATCAAAGTCAGCCAGACCGATCAGTTTGGGCTCAGACAGACCTACCTGACTGCTGAGGAGCAGTGGAGGAGGAGACTGCACACCACTGACCACTGCTCCAGCTCTAGTAACACTGAGATACCTGAACTGCAGTGCTCAACAACTAAAGAAAAACAAGTTCCATCTACCAGGCTGTTGGTTTTCAAGCAACACCTGAATTAGAAGCCAGCAACGGTGGCCCTCCTCAGCCACATGGACCATTTACCCACAGCATCAATGTGATGGATGGCGAAAATGGTGTTTATTGCAGGGGAATCTAACATTTTATAACCTAGGGTCATTGTGTTACTCCCATCTGCCTTGGTCACACTTAGGTGCTATTGGCTAATTGCAGGAGGCCTTACTATCCTAACAGAGAGGGGTGGGTTACTAGCTTTCCGTAACGTCCCGAAATCTTCAGATCGCAAGGCCTTAAACTACAACACCAGGCATTACCTTTGCACATAATGGATACCAGTCCCTGCTTCCCCATGATGAGTTCAAAACCTAAATACCCTGGGGAAGTCTTAAGCTAAACACACAGAAACACGAAGGAAAGTGGAATTTAAAGTCCCAGCTTCCAACTCCTGGGCAAAAATCCTACATAGAAAATGCAGCAACAGTGATTTTTGTCATGCTGTTGGAGGAAAGAGAACCACAGCACCCACACCGTGAGCTCTGCAGCCAGCATTAGCTTCTACCTCTTACTGAAAGTCTCAGCTGAGTAAATACTCACTGAAATACACAAAAGTGACACAGTTGCAAAGAAGTGAATGGTGAAATAATAAACAATCCCACCAGTTTAAGGTTAAGAAGACTGCACTCCAGGTGTCTGTGCAGCGTCTTTGTGATAAATTGTTTGTATCAGTTGCATGTACTAAAAAATAATTTTTAAATTTTTTTGTAAGCATTTGTCATTTGAAAACAAACACTGCAATGGTGCTCAAGAGATAAAAGGTAAGTGCAGGCTTCCTTACCATCCCCTAAATAAGCTTAGGGCAGAGGAGTAAGTGCACTGATAAACAGAATTATAAAGACAGACAAGATATGGGACATGAGTTGATATTAATGTTAAATATCATAATATAGATTATAATATTGTTAAATATATGATAATATATACAAAATATTAATGTTAAATAATTGATTTAAATAATTCATTAGCTAAGTTCATTCCCTAGAAAAAATGCCAGCTCCCTCATGCCATACTGCCCAGCTAAGTCTACTCTTATGTCTCTGTAGGTGAACCATGTCCTAGTGCATCCTCATGGCTATGGACTAAGGGCTCCAATTCTGCACTCTGAAAGCTGCAATGCCAGGATTGACAAAAAAACCCCAAAACCCTAAAACCAACCAACTATCCAAACAAACAAAACAAGCAAAACCCTCCCTCAGCTTCTAGGAACTTGGTCCTGATGATCTCTATGGATGTACTAAAGGATAATTGTTCTTCTGCTTGCTCGCTGGTCAAATGCATGTCAGAAATCTTACCACACTTTGTGAAAAGAACAGCAGATGACTCACCTCTGGACACACGAGTTTTCTTTCTCTCCTATGAAAAAAGGGTTCTGAAGCCAATGAGTATGTACAGTGAACTTTTATTTTTTTTGTCACTGACTGCCAAATTCTGAAAGAAGTTCATGAGTTTCCCTTTACAGTAAGTCAAGGTAATTTGCACTTCTGTGTGAACACAAATGCCTGTTCATATGGTTTGCACAGACCAACAGATGTGCATTAATGCGTATACAAGACTGCAAACATCATGCTGTCAGTTCTGCAGACAGAATATAGACACTTCAAGCTTCAGCTGACAGCTAGGCAAACAAAGAGCCCCATGATCTGCCTTCTGACTTCTCTCAATCTGCAACTTACTCCAGTTCTAGACCTCTTAAACTCTGGTTTGAAGGGCTCAGCAGAGAATTTCTATGAAGCAGGTTTTATCCAAAAGATGAAAGAAGTTGAGGGTCTTAAGAAAATACTTTCTTTTCCAGAGTCAGTTCTTGTACCTCAATTCTTGCTCAGATTTCTTAAGAGGGGTTTGTTCAAAGTATTTTATTAAGCAGTTTTCTTCTCCCTCCATTGTAAATGAAATAGAAAAGCAGCCAAGTCTAGAACCTCTATTCCAGGATAACAAAAGAAAAAAAAATAACTGTAGAACCGGAACATTCAGAGCATAACATTTACTCCCAAGGAACAGATTTATGCTAAAAAAATGAACAATTTTACATGTAGATTAATATTCAACCCAAACCCACTACTCTGTGTTTTGCTGTCAAAGGCAATTTCATAGCCTGCATGCGTGCAGAAACATCCTTCAAAGACCCTGGTGCAAACCCAGTCTGACAACTCCTTACTTACCATGGAGGATTTGATATGGGTTAGACCATGAGGATTTTTATTAATATAAGGATAGGGATTAATAGTCAGACTTATCATCAGGTTAGAGCTAGATTAAGGTAAGTATACCTATAAATATCAAACACATAGGTTTAGACTTTGCTGAAAAAATTAGGCTGAAGACAGATGGAATTCGTTAAATCTAAAAGACTTAGAGAGAAGGAGGCAGATAAAGGGAGCAAACAGGAAGACTTCTAGATAATCTCTCTATCTCTTTGCCATTTGTTACAGACTTGCAGAGTCTATGTCTCTTCCCACCAGCATGAGCAAAATAAGATTCCCACTACAGGTAGGAGTTTCCAGATGATGATGAGGCTGACTTTCACCTGAAAAACCCCCAGTATTCAAACAAAAAGTATTCCACAGTCCACACACACAACAGGTTTTTCCTGGTCCAGCTAGACCCTCACGACCTACAATCACCCAGACACGTGTCTACTTACACGCCTCCTTGCTCGTGGCGCTGGCTCAGGTGTGTTAGGAGAAGTGGATTCATTCGGTGTCTCTGAGGTTGAGCTGAGAGATGAGTTACTGCTTGAAAGTTCTTTGTTCTGTCTTTTAGTTCCAAACGGCAAGAGAAAGGCCACAAAATCTGAAACATCTTTTTGCTCTTCTCTCTGAGAGTCTTGCTTGAGCTTGTAGGCCCGGTCATTAGCAATCACTTGAGACAGAGGCATTCCAAAAGCCTGGGGAATAAATTCTGCAACAACAACAAACCCCTAATAGTTACCAAACATCTGGTATTTATTTAGTACAAAAAGAATTAACTCTTATGTTGTTAAGAAAAACGATCTGCAGTCCCTTTAACTATTTAGTAATTCCAATGAAGTACTGGACTCAATAACAACAACAGTGACAGGTAATTGTAGCTCATGGTATCTGAATAGTATTTCTAGTCACATATTTCAAGACACACTGCACAGAATCTTGGAAAATCACTTGAGATCAGATCTAATTAAGATGTTATTTTCCACCAAACCTAACTGAAGTTGGGCACTTCTGGTTACATGAAGGTGGTGCAGAGGGGCATCAGAAGCTCTGGTAACCATCTTGAGACTGGGGAGCCTTGTTGGACTGTGCCAAAGCTCTCTTTTCAGATCTCTTCACCAGGCTTCTTTCTCATAAATCTGTAGGGCACCAGAGTCAAGAGGTCCTGGCATGTGCATGGGTGTCACTACAGTTCAGAAGAGTATGAATCTACCTGTGCAGAGACCTTCAAAGTCCATTCACCACTCAGACTAAGCCTCCAAGGATATCATTTTAAATTTAAAAAAGAACTATACTGTTTTAAATACTGGTAAGATTAAACCTGTTTAATAGTGGTATATCAGTATAAAATTCCTTTGTAACAGTAAAAAAGCATGGACACATGGAGATACAGGAGAACATATTTGTCTCAATTAAGAAAAAGACCATAATCCTATCTCACATCAATGTAATGTACAGTAATGTACAAAACCAGCACATATCTCATGTCTCAAAGTAAAATGCTTAAATATTTTACAAAATAGAAAAATGTTTTGCAGTGGATCAGTCAGCAACAGTAAAATTCTCATAAATGGTTTTCAAATCAGATCTATCTGAGATTAGCAGAAGTAAAACCACTGAGACAGAATTCCAGCTAGAAATGGTTTGTGCTCAAAAGAAATGAAAAAGAAAATAGCTATTGATGCTATTCACCCTGGTGAAAATGAGTGCAACTTCTACTAGGTTCCAGCTTCAGATATGCTCATATCAGGAATAAATAAAGCACCAGAGATGAAACCCAAATTTCTTTAAGCATCAAAAAAGGAATTATATATATAAAAAAGAGAAGCACATGGGGAAATTCTTATATACTATACTTTCTTGCCACAATTGTGCAAATAATTAAAGGCCAAAACTCCTCCTAGGTTTTTACATCTGCCTAGGTCTTTGATGACACTTCCAAATTGTATCTGGATTTGCATTAAAGTAAGACATTGAAAAAAAGAGGATATTTTAAGAATCTTCAACGAGGATACACTAAAGAAACAGCAGCCCATTGTTCTGATTTGGTAGAAACATTCCTGCTCTTTAGAAGCATGAAATGGTAAGACTTTGGTGGCCAGACAAAACTAAATCAGGAAGCAGAGCCTCATATATCATGCAACTCTGGAGGTGACCTATGAGTAGAATGACACCTAAACCCATCTGCATTTAATTTAGGACAAGAAAGAACACCATCACACAGATAACAAGCAGTGTGGGGATTGCCAGTTTCAGGAGTTCAGTTAGACCTTTCCCTCCTGTACTCAGCAGAGTGTGTCTACAAAATCATGACAGTATTAATGTTAAAATTTTTTGACTGTTCTGAATTATCATTCTATTGAAAATTTAAGATGACAAATTTGAAATGTACATATGCGTGTGTCCCCTTCTGGCTGTCTAACTGGGTGCTTTGTTGTACCACCAGCACTCCTTTTTATTTGTCTTTCTATAACATTTCCTGAGAAAAGCCAACACAGTATATTTCTCTAGTTTGGCTCAGAGCTGCTTCAGACTGGGAGAGGACAGCAGTATTTAGCTCATGTGATGCCCAACAGCATGCTGGTGCTATTGATCCTACATCAACTGGGGCAAGATCAGCAGGAGTTGAGATCTCAGCACTGTTTCATTAAACAAGTTTCATTAAAATGACCCTCTCTCTTATTTCAGCATGTGAAGTTTTGGCATTTTGACGTAGGCATTGCCCTTCCTTGGAAACTCTCAGGTGTGGGATTCCAGGTTTTTAACTGCTCTTGCTCAGTGTGGGCCAGAGAAAGGACAATGAGCCTCTGCTCCAGGCTGCTCTGATGTAGGCATTTTCAGAGGACATGAACCGCTTCCTTGATTTCTCAGTATCTGGCAGAGATGTGGAACTGGATCAAAACCAACTGGTTGAATTTCAGACTAAATACAGATGGTAGTGGTGCTGGCTGGCAGTGGTAATTACATTAAAGAGTTGGCAAACCCAGTAACATTTTGCTCATTTGTTGAAATTAAGAGAATCAGCTGCCCCCTCTGCAGACTGCCTACAGCCTCAAGTTCCCACCAAAATTTGTGTGAGCTTGCACCACGGGCTGTGGTGGCAGGGAGCATGTTCTACCCATTCTTCAGGAGTGTTCAATCCTAACAACTTCCTTGTTGGACAGGTAATTAGAGTGAATGTTAGCCCTTCTGACATTTCAGATTCATTAAAAAAAAAAGCTGTACTCAGGTGAAGTAATTAGCAACCCAAAGATGGGAGAGAAAGGGCACTGATTCAAGTCACAAGATGTGCAGGTTTGAGGTTCTTGTCTCACAAGGAAGGTAAAAGGACAAGTGTCTTTTTACAGCTGCAGGCTGGGAATCCCCTCCATTCGAGAGGATTTGCTGAAACCTCAGCATTAATGAACCTTCATTAAGGAAGAAACATACCTTAAAGCAGTGGCTCAGACCTTTGTTGTATACATACAGAGTGCCAAAGTTACTAAGTTAGTTATTTTCTGTAAACTCAACAAAAAGTTGATCACTTATTCAATGAGGAGACTAGGCAGCTTAAAAAGACATTTTGCAAAAAGCATCATGTAAAAATGTGAAACAACCTGGCAGATTGGGCAATCAGCTTGGAAACAGACTCATATCCTTAGGCAGCACCACTTTTAATACACTCCAGTTTTCAGTGTTTACTGACAAAGGAGACAATTTACTGCTTTGGAGAAGTGCATAATTTCTCTTACCACAAAGTCAATCTTGCAGCTGAGGCAAATTTCTTAACAAAATTTTGACTGAAAATTATATGTTCCTAAGAAATTTTTCTTTGGTGGTAAATCATCGTTTTCTAATAAAAAGCAGCATGTCACAGAAATATTCTTAGCCAGATCAAATAAGAATTTCCATGATCCCAAATCCTCCTTTTTGCTAATCAAATGATAATATTCAAGATGTTGAGCCACATGGCTATAGCTTACTTGACCTCAGGTCACCCTGTTCAAATACAGTTTAAAAGACTTCTCTGAAGTTTCAGCTGGTGAAAACTGCTTTCCATCTCACAGTCTGTTAGGAACCAGTGAGGTCTATATTGTAGATTCTAATGAGTCTTTCAATACTAATAAAGTGAAAAGTAACTATGGTTAGTATCCTTAGATTCGGAGTTTTTTTTTCTGAAGTACATCATAAATGTTGGTTTTGGATTGCTAAAATCCTGTGACCCAGATTTACTAAGGTGCTTGTACCACATCTATTTAAATGACAGGAATATAAATCAGAGAATAATATGCTTTTAAAGGGATATTTAAATGGGGTCCTTAAGTCAATCTCCCCAGCTAGCCAGACACGGTAACTCTGTTTTGTGAAGTCAATTATTTCAGATCTGTAGAGACAGTGATGGAAGCAGAAAACAAGGAAAAACAGAAACCTCAGTACATAATGGGAACTGCAAAACTCCTTCCATCTCAAGGTTCTTCAAAACCTGCAGTGACTCCAGGTGATCTGAGATAAGACAATGTTCTCAGCATCACTTCTGTGGCTGAAAATGCCTTCTCCAGCTACTCAGAGCTCACTGACCTTCAGGGAGTGATATAAGGCTCTCCCAATTACTTATGATTTTTTCTGGGAGCAGGTGTGGGGTTTTTTTACAAAAAAATTAAAGAGATTATTTGATACTTTACTTGACTTTAGTATAAAATATGACACAACATTGATTTAAAATACCCTTTTTTATGCCTAGAGAACATGAGAAACATATTCAAAATTTTTTATAGAGGCATGGTAGGGCAGTGGAAAGGCTTTTAAAAAAACCTAATTTCTGATAAACTACAATAAAAAAAAGAAACTTCAGTTTTTCAGCTCCCTCCTTAGGCTGTGCCAAGGCACACAGACACCACGATAGGTTGAATTACTGAGAACAAATGCAAATATTAATTAATACACCTTAATTTAATGAGCATGAATAGGAAGTAAACAGAAAAGACATTTCCAAGAATTTTGAACTAAAGAGAAATCGATCATCTGCTGCATTTGCATATGCCACAGAGTTACCAGACTTTCTCAGAAGTCCTGCATACACAGCAGCTCTGCTAAGGCCTCACAGATGAGCCTGCTACGTTTTCACATTCCACGCAGAAACGTCAGCAAAAGGGATGATTCTCAGTTACTCAAGCAATCACATAACAAGTGATTATTATTTCTGAGCAGGTCACTTTGTTAACCTGTAGGGTTTTCTGGAACTAAAGCAAAACAAACTTGGTTTACTGATAAAATCTTCTAGGACAAGTAATTTCTGGGAGGCATCTCTCTCAGGAATGCCTGTGTGTACTTTAAAAGGAGGCCTGCTTACGCTGACACCCATATCACTGGCAAGGGATGCCAAGAGACTCTGCTTCTGCTGCCGTAAAAATTAGTACTAAATTCGTAAGGAAACAATATCCAGCTGCCAGCATGCACAGCATCCAAGCACAGACATTTACTGCTCCTTCAGCCTGAGAACTGTTTGTCTGCAGCCAAAGCCAATGTTTGGAGACACTTGTAGACAGTAGGATCGAGGGTCATGATGGCCATTAATAACAAGGAGGCTGGATAAAGCAAAAACACTTGAATGATGGAGGCTGAAAATACTGCTTAAATATCTGGGTGGAGTACTGTTCTCCTGTTTAGTCTGTTTACATCCAGCAAGTTTTGCTATATCAGAAATGTAATAGCAATTGAAAAACCACTTTTACAATTTCTCCCCTTTTAACAAGATGTTGACAGGTATAAAAAACCGACAAAGTCATTGTAAGTACATTTAATTCTACAGTAGTGTCTTTATTGGCCTTCAGAAGTCTGACAGGTTGCTGAAACTCTCACTTAACAGACAGGTTGACTGATCCATCTAAATAAAATGTAAAGTTTTGACAGAAAAAATTCCATAGATTGGACTGAGTCTCAAAATACAAGTTAGTAAATCTCCAAACAGTACCAGAAAAAGTAAGTATCATTCCTTTTGGTTATGCCTTGAAGTATAGATCCCTGGTGGGGTGGGTGGGGGAGAATAGTCTGGGGCACAAATTTGACAGAGGTGGCAGCTCTTCAGAGAGAGTAACCCTAGACACCTGCACCATGGGGCAGTTCAGTGCACATCGGTGCTAAAGGAGAGGGTTTGTCAGGCAAGAGCTGTAGTGAGGCCCCCATTGTGCATCCCATGGTGGCCCTTTCCTTCCTCCTCTGTGGCCTCCTGTGCCAGGCACGTCCCTGCTATCCTTGACTGCAACCCACACATGATCACACAGTGCTGCATGATTGTCAGGATTAACCTCCAGGAGTCTGTTTTAACAAAGGGAGGATTTCAGGTGGCACATACTCTGGGCAGGACCAACAACATGGTCCCCTCAGCTGTTACTTGTCTGGGCATCTGGGGGCCCCCAGGCTGGGATAGAGGAAACACAAAATGTTTGGAATTAATTACTCTCCCAACTGCAACTGTGTTTACAAAAGTGATGCTGAAGGGATGGAAATTAAGTCTGTATCAAGGCAGCTGCATCTCCTCCATATGAAGTGTCTGGTAATCAGCTTCCCCGCTTCCCCTCCGACGTCCTGTGGCCTGGTCTTGCTAATTTTCTTCTGACAACAGCACAGCTGGACTAGTTACTAAAAAAAACCCACCACAAACCCCCCAGAATAAACCAAAGGAAGGCATTCCTTTCAGGCATGAGGACTAGGGGCCTGCCTGGGTGGGTGTGTGCTCCCAGCCTTTTGTGCAGCACATCATGCTCACAGTGGGGACTGTTTGTCTTGGACTGGCTGCCCAGAAATGGAAAATACTTCCTTTAGGGAACGAGCTTGCTGTGAAAGGCATGTCGAGGGAGGTTAACTCTGACTTCAGGTGACGTGGAGGCCACTGTTCAGGGAAGGTGGTGGGGCTCAATTCTGAAGTGAGCACAGCAGGCTCATCCTTATGGAGACCATCAGCTGAAAGCTGGGCAATACTGTCCCCCCTAACTCCTGAGGCTGGAGGAGATGCTGGTGTCACTGCTTTCCACAGCAAAATAGCCACCTTTCAACCACTGTGCCAGGCTGATGGCCCCCACAGCACAAACCAGCAGTCCCGATTGTTCATTCCCTCTGCTGTAATGCATTAAGAGTCTGCTCAGGAAGTACCTGAGTGGAAAATGATCTTTAGTAACTCAGAAGGGCAGAGAAAAAAGTACACCAGAACCAACCATGGCCAGAAAACCTGACAAGTAAGATGCCATATGCTGCTATTTGGGCTATTTTTGCCTAACATTTGCTGATGGCAATTGCTAAGAGCAGATATGCCTTCTTTTCCCTCTGCTAACACAGCCTGTTCAGAATGTGACTCCTTCCAATTTCCTGGACCCTTACTGACCAGACCAAGTTTTTCCTAAAGGAAGGAGGGAAATACAGATTCTACAGTTTGAGAAGTGCTGGGGTATTTTCCTCTGAGAGGGTGCTCCTATGATATAAGTAGGGAGTGCATGTAAAACATATCCGTAACTCAAAATAGGACAGTGAGTGATGGGAGAAAAAGGGTAAAAAGCAGATGGGTATATGTTTGAAACATCTGAATTTCAAATAACTGTAAGAAAAAATGGAATTAAAATTAGGAGAATCAGCATACTGATTTCTAAAAATGCTTGGTATAGTTAACCAGATAGTATGAGGAAAGCTGAAAACCAGGAAGTAGATAAATTTAAACAACAATGAATAAGTATGATGAATAAGTACAAAGTGCTGTCCTTCACTGCACAACCAGTGAGCCCTAAAGGGTTAAAGTACACTCAGAATAAAAAATCAAGTACATCCCCAAACCTACTGACTGAATGGAGTATAAATGCTATCACAAAAGGTAGACAGAAGTGTAGTAGCAGAAAATAATATTATCTTGAAGTGCTCAACCAGTGCAGCTGAGTAATACAAAAGAATGCAAGGCAATATAAGAAAAAATATTGTTTGAAAGATCATTGGCAATAGAGAATTTAGTGGAATAAAAACCAGCTCTGGGTTAAGGATTTGTACCCATCACCAAATGGACACTCTCACTTCTCAAGGCACTGCACCAAAGAGCATTGGTGGAGTTCTGAGAGTGCAGCTGTGAAGATCTACCAAGTTTGTGTGACACAGTGAAATTCTGGCTTTGGTGAATTATCAAAGCAATTTATCACTGTTAAAATCTGCTACAATGAATAATGAGTAATGAAAAAATCTGAGGAAAAAAAAGCCAAAATGTATTTTAACTCTCAAAAGAACTTCTAAAGAGCAACTTTCAACAGAGACTACCGAAGTCACGGTACCCCTAAGGGAGGAAAAATGAAAGCTCTCAGTACACCAAAAATTTTAAAAAGCAGGATGTGGTTGGCCTTTTCTGATGCAGAAGAGCATCCCACAGGCCCTATGAAGATCAATATCTGGCAAACACACTGCAAAGCAGGACAGGTTTTGCACAGAACTAAGAGTTGCTTTGCACTCTTATCTGCAGGAATAACTACAGAAGAAAACATAGCAATGTAATGACTGACTAATTACAATGTAATCAAATATAATGCACTGATAGGACAGTGCAAAAAAGATTTTCCTTCAAACGTGGCTGTAAAATCATTAAATCTCTTCCTTAATGACTCCTCCTGCATGTGGCCTCAAGACAAATATCAAGTAATTCCTGTAACAAATGAAAAGTTTGATACTTGCAATGTAATAATACAGGAAGCACTGGATATATCAAACCAGCGTGTCAGGGCAAATTCAGTTTTTAAAAGATTAATACAAATATTTCCCATAACCAATTTTAAATCAAGAAAATAATAATCACATATTTTAAGTTACCAAACAAATTAAGATAAAAATATTTTCTTCTTGACAGCTATCTAAACTAACTTGGAAATGGGGATGTTAATTTTTTCAGTGGAATTTCAAAGTTCCATTCTTCTGCTAAACTAGACTAAAAGTGAAGTAATCAGGTCACTTCTGTCACAAATTCCTGCATCTGTGTGCCTGTTTGTGAAACTGGGGTATCAATACCAAATTTTACAACCATTTTTCCAGACATGAACACAAAAATAGATGCACAATTACCTACATGCAATTTCACAGATACTTTCCAGTGTCACAGTATTTAGACTTAGTTCAAATGGCTCCGAATTACAGGTCAACTTCAGGTCCTGGATTAGGATCCAGCCCATAAAGCTGATTAGTGTCCAAACAAAAGAGTACAACCATATCTGTAAATCCATGTCACATGGAGTTTATTGAAATCCAACTGATCAGTAGCACTGAAGCATTTATATATTTTAAACAATGGCTATTTTCCTAAGGTTAAAGACCGAAAAGCATGCCAACTGACTTGCTTGGGCAGTGCTAGGTTTATGTGCTTTGTAAATTGAGAGTACAAATGCAGGTAAAGAACTGGCTCATGTTGTACAAACCACCTTCTGCACTCAATGGTGAAAATGAAGAGAAAGAACACTGGAGAAAAGATGCAGTCCTTTAAGTCTTCCTTTTTTTCCTCAGGGGAAAAACAACAAACCAAAATCTTTCCGTTGAAGAGATCTTAGCTATACTACAGTTAAACAGATAAGATAAAACATATTTTTCAGCTTGCAAATAAATACCTAGACAGTATATCAGCTCAACAACATTCTACTTTAAAAAGTATGTATCAGACTGAAGAAATCTCATATGCAAAACTAAGACCTGATCACTAAATATGTACTCATTTTACCTTTGTCTCTGTTCTTCTCCTTTCCTAAAGAGTCCAGTTTCTTTCTTAATGACTTCTTCCTCTTTTGTCCATCTGTAAGAGGCAAAAAATAAAAACAAGAAAAGGAAGTGAGTGAAATAACCCTGAACAAACTGCTGCACAAGCTGTAGGAAGTGAGATGCACAAGCATGGAGTGAGATGGTCACAGCACTGGGGACCAGGAAGGGTGTGAGGCACATTTCACAAAGGAAAAGTCCTCCAACCCAAAGGAGTATGGCTTTGCTCACCCAAACGCTGAGGCTGTATCCCCTGCATGCTTCTGGGCACATTTACACATGCGTGGTCACTGAAGAGTTAATAATGGAGGGGTTTTTTTTGGCTGGATGCTCTCGATACCAAAGCACCATAAACCTAAAAGGCACTGGATAGCCCTCATCCATGGTCACAAGACTCTGATTCAGGTGTGGAACTAAAGGTAGTATGTGGAAAGGGAGGATTACTAACATCCAGGATAAAGCCCTGCATACCAGCCATATCAGCTGGGTGATAGCTGACCACCTTCACATGACCCATCTGATCTGAATTCATTTTGGGAGCTGGCAGTTGGGTACAGCATGTCCAGATTGGTTCAGATGGATTAGAACCTCAGAGAAATTTTTGTTCTGACGACCAATATATTGTCCAAGTTTTCACTAAGGTATTAAGGACCAAAGGTTTTAAGCAATATCAGAGGCAGGCTGGTTCTTGAAACATTTATTTCAAAAGGCTGGGTATCATTATTTCCTTCAGCAGCATCTTTTATAATGAAAAGTCAACAAAACAGAATTTTATTTATTAGGTCTCAACAAATACCAGGGATTAAGTCAGGGGCCTGCTTTAACTTGTACCTTTGGAATTTTTCAAGTTCCAAAGCAATATAAAGGGTCTACCACAGGGACTGATATGCTAACATAGACACTGCTCTAGATAAAGTTTAATGAACATGTACCTTTACCCTTACTGATTTTGTAATATGGCAAAAACTCAAAAATAAGTACACCATATCCATTTCCCTTTTAGGGCAAGAGAATCACCAAGTAATCTGCCTCAACACATTTTTCTAGTTTTGTAAGCCAGTGTCTTAAATGGTCTTTTATACCAGGGAACATACCATGAAGGAGTGACGTCCATCCTTGTTAATGAACTCTCATCTTTGCAATTAGGGGTCATGAGAGAACACAAGCTATTTCTCCATACTTTTCCCTCAAATCACACTGAAAACCAAGTCCAGAACATTACTCGATAGACTACTCAACAAGTTCTGGCTTTTTTATAGCAAATTAATATCCTTTTAATTTAAAAGTAACATTTCTTTTTACTTTGTGTAATGGTGGTTGGACCAACTCCACTTGCACACTTGCACTCTGCAGTTTCCAGGATTTTATTTCCAGGATATCATATTCCCAGGATACCACAGAATGGTTAGAGTTGGAGGGGACCTCTAGTCCCTTCCTAGGAGATCATCTAGTCCAACCACCCCCACAGTTCAGGGTGATCTGGAGCAGGCAACACAGGAATTTGTCCAGGTGGGTTTGGAATGTCTCCAGAGAGGGAGACTCTACAACCTCCCTGGGATTCCAGTGCTTTGACTTCCTCAATGTAAAGAAGTTCTTTGTCCTGCTGAGGTGAAAATTCTTGTGTTTTAGTTTATGGCAGTTGCTCCTTGTCCAGTTACTGGGCACCACTGCTAAGAGCCTGGGGCCATCCCCATCCTCTTAGCACCCATCTGTGGGATATTTATATGGACTGATGAGATCTCCTCTCAGTCTTATCAAGTCCAAACATGCCCAGGTCCCTTAATCTCTTCTCACAGCTGAGATGCTCCAGACCCCTCATCATCTTTGTAGGCATTTGCTGGACCCTCACCAGTAGCTGACCACCTCTCTTGTACTGAGGAGCCCACAGCTGGACAGAGAACTCTGGATGTGGCCTCACTAAGGGTGAGAAGATGGGCAGGATCACCTCCCTTGATCTGCTGGCAAAGCTCTTCCTAATGAACCACAGGACACCAGCAGTCCTCCTGGATGGAAGGGCTCCTGGCACTCACAATTCAGATATTTGGTTCCTGTCTCGAGGCACAATTGCCATGGTTATGTTAAATCCCCTTTGCCCACCTCTGCTGTGGTGAGAAATCATCTCTCTGAATAAGGCTGACTAGATGGGTAAGGTATTCTGGATGAGAGTTCAGCAATACAATGCTGGTAATTCGTTGCCTGATATGGTCTATGATTAGATTTTCCTTTTTTCTTAGCTGCATGACAAAGCTATAACTCAAAGTCATATTCTGGTTGATGAAAAGCCCAGACTTCTCACACCTTCTGAAATTTCCTGTTGCTAAGATTAAGTTTTGAAGAGAAATTCTTTCACCTCTTGGCAATATGAATAGTTGGTAGCCTGCTTACATACACCTGATGGTACAGCTTGTTTTTAAAAGGATCCCTGCTACCATTGTGTTCTGGCTTTATAACTATAAAATATTTTTCGAATTATTTTCCATGTTATAAATTCAAATTACTGCTTCACAGACTCTTTTTGATCGATGACTAATATTTCTTTGGAATCACAGAGCCTTATTCTCCAAAAACCCATTTACTGATACTCTGACATCCCACTGAAGTCTGCTGAGACATAAAAAAATGAGAGAAAGAATCAAAATTTTATCTAAAATGCAGTGCTTTCCTATGATCATTTACATTTACAGTTTACTCCATGGCAAGAGAAAAAGAGTTGCATATGAAAATAGGGCTCAGAAGAAGCTCAGTAAAAAGCTAAAGCTCAGAAGATCTGCCAAGAGGTCTGAGGTCAGTGCAAGTTCTCCTCCCCAGCAATAGAAATGATAAATTGCAGTCTATACACTGTACATATAAATATGTTTTCAAATGACTGTTAATGGAGGTTACATCAGGCATGAACATTGATGAAATATTCATAATGTGTTTAAAGACTTATGCAGCTCCAGCAGTTTTACATATTAAATGAAACCAATTCACAATAATAATGCTTAGTACTGATTAGTTGCAGTGTAGTTTTGAGAATATAATTAATATCCAACATGTTCTTGAGAAACAGGCAAAGCATTATTACACACACTTAATACCTACTGCAAGTTTTTTTAACAAATTAGCAAATACTTATGCAAAACAGTATTGTATCAGTCCAAAGTGCTATTAGGTATGGATGGATTACTACTTTTTAATTTCCACTTTGGAAAAGTTTAAACCACATAGCAATAAAAGCTGTTCAGCTATTATCTAGCCTTTTGTGTATATAATTGTCAATTTATGCCTTCTTTCTGTAGATTGACAATACACTGCTCCTTCAACAGATCCCACTCAAGAGCATTAGCACGACCAGAGAAGCACTCAAATGGCAACTGTCACAATGAAGGAAGCTTCATTTTTTTTCCTTTGCTAATCCATTCTGCTTTTCCTGAAGGACACCTGTGCAGGCAGCTGTGCAGATCAGTTTGTTTTTCGGAAATGGACTTGATCTGTTCAGTACTTACTAATTTATATGTTTGCTGCATTTTTCACTGCAATGCATACATCACTCCCTAGGCATCTATGTATTAAGACTAGCACAATGAATATTTAAAAGACCAAGCATCTAGAATCAAACTCCTGAGTGCACATTAAATTGCTATGTGACCTGTTTTTCCAAAGAGGTGAGCAATTCCAGGTTCAGTAAATGCCATAAAGACTTTTCTATTTGAAAAATTAGGTCATCTCTTTAGGACTCTGTCAGTGAACCACACAGCCCACAGAATACAAGATTATTTGTACTCATCTACTGACTTTTCCCAAGAATTGAACAATCTTGACTTCTGAGATTATCAAAACTGAAATACTTCAGGTTAAAGTTGAAATTCTCCTGTAGTGTCATCATTAACACTATTTTTTAGCATTTATACTATCAAATCCTAGATTTTCTACAGACCATCTGAGGGCTTAGATTTCTCTCTAAGTGAGACCATGGTTCTACAAGCTAGGTAATAATAAGTCATTTTCACTCTGAGGTTATATAAACTTCAGCCTTAACAGTTAAAACTTAAGAAGAAAGGAAGAGTATTTTGTAAGTTCTTTAAATTATAGTTCTATTGCTTTGCACAAGACCATCCACCAACACCTTGTATGACTGAAAGAGGGGGAGTGCAGGCTGAATCCTGTTACTATTTACTTCCAGTACTTCTTCATACAATTTATATTTATGGAAATGAACAAGTCTATTTGGTAGGTAGAAGTGTTTATCAGAGTAAGCTAAAGCACCACAAATTAAGTATAGGGAATCAGCTCAGAATTATACAGTTTGTGGCACACAAAGTTAATACTCAGGAAGTCCTGGCCAACAGTTTCAGATTATGTCACTTATTCAGATTATGTCAATATCCTGTGAAACCCTAATCTAATATGCTTTTAATAATTCATACATTATGCATTAAAAAAGTACAGCAGCAAAGCTTTGTACATAATTTCTGGGACACCATCACAGTATTAGGCTTCAGATAATGAAAAGAATACCCTCTCAAATATGCTTGAAGTGAACCTGTAACAAAAATAGGATTCTTCAGCACTTTCCTTATACATGGAGGGGGGGGGTTGGATTATCTATAAGAATTATATTTCTTCTATGTTACTTAAATGCAAGGACACTTTTTATTTCTCAAAAACATGATTCATAGATTCATATAAGTCTTTTAAACCAATTTATCTCAGTAGGCTTTTGACGTAAGAGATAATGTGCTGCTGACAGGGCTGTAGAACAAAGAGAACTTCCCATTTATTGGCAAGTTCCTTTGCTTAAGAGAAATGAGTTTCTTGTTCATTTGGGGAAGAATGTTTGTCAAGTTCCACAATTAAGGGCTATTTTTATGTAGTATAAAAAGAAGACCTATCTCAGTGATTATTATCAGACCCATAGCTCAATTATCAAAACAGAAATGGATAAAAAGGTTAATATAGTGAGATTTCTAAACTACTTCTTCATAATAATTCTAATTCTATTCATAGCCATTTTTCTTAATAACCACTAGTAATTGGATCTAACTGCACTTAAAG